TTTTTTTGTTTTGTCGATCGTCGTTACCTTGTGATGTACTTTTGTGACAGAAATACGAGCTTAAAATTACTAGACTAGAGCGGCGAATTTATTGAGGGCTGGGTGGTTTCAAGCTGGTACCTTGTTCGGCTTATTTAACCCTGAAGATGGAGGCGATATGTTCCTCAGAAATGTATTTTCACTTCGGACGTACCACACGGTGTTATATCCCAGAATACAGCACTCTTCAGGGTTTTTAATATTCGAACCACATCGCAAGCTAAACTTACTGCAAAAATGCAACAAAAAATCGCTTAAGATGGATAACGAAAAATTATATTTGACACAATATTCATTGACAGAAAATTTCCATAAAGACTGGTATTTGGCTCAAAATAAACAAACATCTTCTAAGTAGCAAATCTGGTTACAGTGGACCACAAATATAGTTGGGACGGACAAATGCATAGATAACAGTTTGCGAAATTTGTAAGAAAATGGATACTTTGCAGACTTATAAGCGTAACACTAAGAATGATATTACTACGCGGTAGCGTAGTTGGTTGAGGCACTATGCTACAAGCCGGAAAGTTGTGGGTTCGAGTCCCGATGAGGTGGAGTTTTTTCCCCCAATTTACATAGTCCTTCCAGCCGCAGTACGCCTAGAAGTCGACTGAGTCTCTAACAGAAATGAGTACCCGGAATCTTCCTGGGAGTAAAATGCGGTCGGCGTGTAAGGCTCATAAACTTACCGCCATCTGTGAGCTGACTATATAGAAAATGTGGGAGCGTCGACATCTCAAAAACTTATGTGACTTCACGGCCTGTTATGGGGATAGTTTCATTGCTTTAAAATATTTCGTCATTATATTTCTGTTTCACCTAAGTTTGCAGTAACACTATATACTCATTTCAGAAAATTTTCTTTGTCGTAGGAAATGTTAACGTATCTCTCTTCAATAATATCAATTTCATACTTTAAACATAACGCTTTGAAATGCGACGTTCATCTAAATAATATTTAATGCTTCAGTTTCCTACCTCAAAGAAGACACACTGCATCTCCATTACAAAGGCAAACTTTACGGAAAGAAATCGCTGTTTATTCTGAGAATCATATGTTGCCAGCAAATACACTCGGTGGGCTAAACGGGGAGTCTCTGGATGTTATAACAGCTGGAGTAATTGTTACCACTGTGCTTTAGATGGTTCATTCTTCGTTGCCTTAAAACTTGCATATTCCTGCTTGAATATTATTCCTACCTAACATAGCACCAAAACGTAATACAGATTGTTCTGGAGCATATCTAATTTCAAGCAAATGTTAATGTATTCTTCATTTAAGCTGAATTGACAATTTCAAACCTTCCAGCTAAACACAACTGAAAGTGAATAAGACAGCTGCAGATATACAGTCTCTCAAAATAACAAAGTTTTCAGTTATTAGTAACTTCCATCTCCGTCACTGTCTTCGTTTGTGTCTGCAAATTACAGAGAGATGAAGACACTTACCAATTAGGGTAGAGTGGCGGCATTTGCTAAAACAAATGAATATCGTGTTCACTCCAAAGCAACTTACAACAACGTTTCAACTACCTAATCGGAAAACAAACGTTAAGACTCCTAATTAGTCTTTACAGCTGCTCTAGGGAACTATACAGTAATACTACGAACAGGGATTTGTAAAACGCTTTCGGGCGCCTGTGTTGCTACACTGGATGCTACAGAAGCGAGAAGGGGTGAAGTTACAACGACCTATGAAAATAAATAAATATCAACTACGTGAAACAAATTATTTTTAGACGATAACAGCTTATCATGTCAAAAAATTATCCTCCTTTTCTTAAAAACTGAACCTGGTTCACAAGAGTCCACTACTGGTAATTAATTGTGTCTTCCGTTAATGTTGGAAAATTTCGAGAAAATTTCAGCGATTATCTTCTCAAGGACTCCGCTCTTTGTAAAAAGGTAAAGCTATCCCTGTAACAGGCCGTTGAGACCCATAGGGTTGTGAGACGTTGAGGGTCCCACATTATCTAGATAATCGGCTCATAGATGGCGGTAAGGTTGTCAGCATTATGAGCCGGCCGCATTTTACCCCCCAGGAAGATTCCTGGTACTCATTTCTCTTAGAGGCTAAGTCGACCCCAGGGCCATAGTGCAGCTGGAAGAATTAGGTCAATCAATAAAAAAAATCCACCTCATCGGGACTCGAACCCGCGACCTTGCGGCTTCTAGCATAGTGCTTCAACCAACTACGCTACCGCGTGCCCCCATTCCGCCCAGTGTAAATGGGATAATATGAACAGAAGCGATCGCGACTTATAGATACCATCCTACATTTGTGTGGAGAGCTAGTAAAAAACCTTATCTAAATATGGAGATATCAGATTCCTCCGAAACGTCGGTAACCACGTTCGAAACTACAGCATAACACAATTTTAATTTTCACTACCCTGAAAATCTAAAAATTCAGCTACAAACTTCAATCATGGCAGCTGGCGTTCGGGCCAAAAACCGAGCCAGAGATCTTGCAAACACGAAGAAAAAATGACTACACCGCGCTTTTCGATCATACAGATACAGAGATAGGCAAGATACTTGGAAACGTGCCGTTTCTAATGATACAGATATTTTTCACTTGATGCTATGGAAGCTTCGGCTACGAACTGAAGTTTCATTATGGACGGCAAGACAGAGATTGTTCTATTAGTCAACTCGCCCAGTTCGACTCTGATTTATCCATCTTCCTATTCATCTTACAGGCAGCCTTTTGTCAGTTCTCCAGACCATCTCTGAGACCACCAGCTTCCAGTTCAATACGTAATCTTATAGGTCTCCTCCTCAAGTCGCCCAGAACGCCTAGGGGCTACCAGCCTCCTATTCGCTAATACTCTTACAAGTAACCTCTTCGCAAGTTCGCCCAGGCCGACTCTTCGATACTCAGCTTCCTCTTCAATAGGAACGCTTACAGGTGCCCTTTTTTGTCAGTCTCCCCGACAGATTCTGAACTTTCCAGTCACAAGCACAGCATATGCTGCAGGCAGTTCAATGGACATGTTTAAAATTATTTGTTCTAAACCAACTTTCAACATCCTGCAAGAACGGTAAGCAAAATAGCACACCAGACTGTCTGTACCTAATATGTCGCTGCATATATTCATGTAAATTTAAAGTATATCAGAAAGAATTTCATACGTGTAATGTTGAACTTATTATTATTATTATTATTATTATTATTACTTCAGTCTGACATTAACTCTATACAAGGTTGCATTGCTAACTGTATGAAACTTAACATCAGTAAAACTAAAGTTATATCCTTCTCGAGGAAAACCAAGGCACTGATCTACGATTATAAACTTTGTCAATTGTCAATAGCCCGGACCGATTCTATAAAAGACCTGGGAGTGTTTATTGATGCTAAGCTATATTTCCATGACCAGGTCAATTAATTTTCTCTCACTGTGTTAAACTTTGGGGTCTAGTTCGTAACATTACTTTCAATTTCTCATCTATAGACTGTATGTTCAGATTGTACACTGCATTAGTTAGATCTAAGCTTGAATATGCGTCCGTAGTCTGGAATTCGATTACGTCAACTGATGCCAACAGGTGGACCGCATTCAGCAGAGGTTTGCGGCCCTTTGTTTAATCGTTTCTATCCTCAAGTCCATTACAGTTATTCTCTTGCTCTGGAGGAGCTAAAATTGCATACCTTGCGTACTGGAAGACATCGCCTTGATGCTCTCTTTCTTATTCACGTTTATTTTGGCTCGAAATTCTGCCCTTCTGTTCTGGAAATTGTTGGCCTCCGAGTTCCTGCTCGGTATATCAGAGACTTTGTATTGATCAATGTTTACTCCTCATCTAAAAATTGTCCCTCTGCTAGATGTGCAGCGGCTGCTAATGTTGTCTGCAGGGATGTTGACGTATTCGGAGCCAGGAAAGTTCTCCTCAATCATTTTTTAAATAGTGTATAATTTTGTTGAGTTTTAGCGTCCTGTTGCACTGATTCGCACGTACCCACAAAAGGACACACCAC